CGGTGGTGGTGGTGGTGGGGGCCGGTTTGGCGTCTCACGCCATTCTGAATATCGAGGTACATCTCTTTTGAAGCCTGGTCGCTGCAAGAGGCGAATATGTTTGACCATATTATGCTCTCTAAGTCAAATTAAGTTTCATTCAGTATTCTGCGTGGTTTTGATCTTTATGTGCATTTGGTTGCAGTTATTGTGCGAGGACTCCCTTCTTCAGCTTCCTGGCAAGATTTGAAGGTATGATAATTTTCATTTTAAACGTCACAAAATTCTTGCTATTTTATATTTGCGGTATGTGTGGGTACTATCGTTGGTCTTGTGGCTTCAGGATCATATGCGTAAAGCTGGTGATGTATGTTTTGCTGAGGTTTCTCGTGACAGTGAGGGTATGTTCTTATATTATGTGGCAATAGCATGAATTTGACTGATTTCATCTATTCCTGCACAATTTATTTAAAGCTAGGAGCCTAGGAAACCATAATTTTTATTTCCTATTTTATTGGTGAGGTGAATTCTTGTTAGACTTGACCTGCTTTACGTAATTTTAGACCATGGTTATATTTTTCATTGTCAGAAGTTCTTTTGGACTAATTTGAATAGTCTAAATTTGACTTGTATTTATTCTCTCTTAGTCAAATGCTATTTTACTATGTGAAATGAAATGTATTGTTTTTATTAATGCTTACCATCTGGAATTGCTCTTATTATTTCAGGGACTTTCGGCCTTGTTGATTACACTAATTATGATGACATGAAATATGCTGTAAGTAACTGGAACACGGCTTTTCAATGTAATTCTTCCCCAATTTTCCATATAGACTGGTGTTATTTATTATTATTTTCTTCTTTTAGATTCGTAAGCTTGATGATACTGAGTTTAGAAATCCTTGGGCAAGAACTTATATAAGGGTAAGCCTTTTCCCCTAGTCGTATTTTTTTTTTTTTTGGCAAAAATTGTTGGCGCCAATCTTTTTGAGATGTATCCAAACGTTTGTGTTTTTGATGTTCATAAACTGGTGTAGGTGAAGAAGTATGAAAGTAGTCCTTCAAGGAGCCGAAGCAGAAGCCGCAGCAGAAGCCGCAGTCCAAAAAGGAATAGGAGGTAATGATCTACCTTTTCTGTTCCCCTTGTTCTTGACTATTTCTGGTTCTCTTTTAACCCTTTTTTTCTGCTCTTTTTTAAGCAAATCATTGGATCGATCTGTCTCTAGATCAGTCTCAAGATCTAGGTCTGCATCTCCTGCCAAACCTTCCAGGTATCTTTGGCTTCTTCAGCTATTCTCGAGTTTTTCCTTTCTAAAATCTTTGCGTTATTTGTGCTTATGATGTGACTAAATGTTGATTAATATTGTAGGCCACGATCACGATCCAGGTCAACCTCTCCCCGCCCGGTAAGTATTGATTCTAGTTTTGAACAAGGGATTGAACTTTGAAAGTCACGTCATAAACGGCTAAACCAAGAAATCTATGCTTACTATTTTTGCTTCAACTCGATCCCCTTTTCAGGTCCGATCTGGCAGTGGCTGATCCTCTAGGAAGTGAAGGAAAATCTCATAATGGTCTTCTTGGTGGAGTTAGAAGGAAAGAATTATAGATATCGGAGTGATCTGTTTTCTTTCAGATATCGTAGGACAAATCTATTTTTAATTGATTATTGGCTTGTATGGTTTAGACTAAATACCTAGATTTCTATTGGATATGACCATTTAGCTCGTATTAAATTAAGCTAGTATCGGTGAGGCTTGTGACCAAGTTATGTGTCGTAACTTGAAACTCATGTTTTTGGAGCTTGAAGGATTCTGAACTCTTTTTTGGTTAGATAGAAGACTCTTATTTAGTTTTGTTATCTGTTTGTTTTGTACTCGAACTTTTGTTCTACGAGCTCTTATGGGAAGTACTTTTATTTAATCTAAATATATTACATAATTTAGGATATGTTTAGGCTCCGTTTATTTCGTTGATTCGAGTTTAGAATTCGAGTTTTGTTACAGTAAAAAACTCTCAGAAACAGTCACATCTAGCTTTTTTGTTACAGTAAAAAGTTTACATAAAATCACATCTTAACTCGAATTAAAAATTTGAATTAGCGAACTAAACGGGAGTTTATGGATTTAGAACCATGATTTAGAATTATTCTCGGTTTACCTGTGTTTTTTTGTGAGAGAACACTATAGCGAATTACGAATTATGATTCAAATTATGGTAAGAATCTACTAATTAAACGTATGAATCTACCAATTAAACGCACGTCTAGTAGTGATGGTTTCTTGTAATGAGGGAAGAATAAAAACAGTCGTGGGTTGATAGAAGTTTAATGATGAATGAATTACTAGAAATGTCATTATTTATTGGCTACGCTTGCTGTTAGCAGTCCACTGATAGGTTTGGCTCCCTCGTATCGTTTCTAGTGTTTCAAGTCTCAATATATTACTGGGATATGTTCATGGTTTTCCTATCTATCTTCTCGAGGAGTTAAGAAAGATGCTGTAAAAGAAGATAAATCCGTTCTGATGTCTTCAGTAGACTTCTGTGTCGTTTCACTTTTATGTCGTTTTAAGGTATATACCAGTTTTTCGTGGGTTTAAACCTATTGTTTTAATAACTACTGGTTTTGAACCCATATAGACCAAACGGGTCCTTTTCTAGCAGTATCATTGTCATATTTAATTATGTTGTCGTTTTTTGCCTTCCTATTCCTATTGTTTTTACTTTGTTTTTTGAGTTTCCGTCGGTTTATTTTTGTTCCTTATTTACATATGTTGTTGTTTTCCTAGTTCATACCGTTTTCCGTGCTTTAATCCTTTTTTTTTTTTAATCTTTTTATCGTATTTACTTTTGTTGCCGCTTTATGGAATTCCCTGCGTTTTGCTTTTGCTGTTGGTTTGTGTTCCTGTCGTTTTGTTCAATTCATCTATTGTTTCATTGTTGCGGTCGCTTTTTCACTTTTATTGCCGCTCTTCTTTTCCATGTCACTTTTTTTTCGTATTAGTTTCCAATTTCGTTATCAGTTCCATTTTTCCGGTCGTTTGTTGGGGTTCAACTGTTCCTGTCGTTTCTGCATTGCTTTTAAAAAAAAAAAAAATTTATTGTCGTTTTGGGTAATCCCGTCGTTTATATTGATGTGATTTTTGTCGTTCCTGTCTTCTGAACACTTCCCGTCTTTGTTAGTGTTCCTCTCGTTTTCAATTCGTTTTCTTTTTAATTTATAATGTCGTTTCGTCAATTTTACATCGTTTCCTCTACTCGTGTCGTTTTTTAGACGTTTTTAAACTAAATATAATTATATATATATATATCTATGTTACAATGAAAAAAGAAATGTCCACAAGTTTTACAAGTTTTTATATTTACATATAACTATGTAAAATAACCAGAAATGATAATCCTATCCTTAGTTAACTACCTTTTAAAATTAGTTAAAAAATTCAGAACTATCCAGATAAAAAAGGAGTATATTATATTTAAAATTATCTTATATCAGTAACCATCATTATATTGTTGAATTAAAGACAAAGGTAAAAAGTGTGGGCCAGAAAGCCTTTGATTTGGGCTTGCAACATAGGTTTTTCAGGCCTCAAAATCTGGCCCAGATAAACTCCCCGAAATTAGTTCAGATCTTCGGCCGTCCCTAATCATCCGATAAAAAAACCCTAGCCTTCTCAGACCTATATATACAATCTCTATATTTAGCCCTAAAACCCCTTCGTAGTTCGTACCATTTCTAGGGCTTCGACGCTTCTGCTCTCAATATCTGGGATTGTTCAGATTACTATTTCAATACAATGTCTACCAGTGAGCTTGCCTGCACTTACGCCGCTTTGATTCTCCACGACGATGGCATCCCCATCACCGTAAGTCTCTCTTCCTTTTTTCCTTTCGATTGAACTTCTTTTTCTTGAATCTTCTCTCGGATCCGAAACTTCTTGTTTGATTGATTTTAGTTTGTTACCAGATCTTGCTTTCCGTGATTTCTCGATTTTGCATTTTGTAATTGGAATTGATTGGAATCCATTTTTGTTGTCGATTTTTTTTTTTTTTTTTTGTAAAAATAAAATGTTTAGGCCGATAAGATTGCGACTGTTGTGAAATCTGCGAAGTTGTCAGTGGAATCATACTGGCCGAGCCTTTTCGCCAAGCTTGCGGAGAAGAGGAACCTTGATGACCTCATTCTGAACGCTGGATCTGGTGGATGTGCAGCTCCGGCCGCCGTTCCCTCCCATTCCAGTGGTGCAGGCGCTGCCGCCCCTGCCGCCGCCGCGGTCGAGGAGAAGAAGGTACATATAACACATTACTAGTCGTTTGTCATTTTGGGGTTTACTTTCCATAATTGAGTGGCAGTAACTGAAGCTGATGAAGGGAGTAATTTATGAGATGTCTAATAGTTGTAGACATGGAATTTAAGATTCAACAATTTGCTTATTATAATTGTACAATAGTAGGGTTGTTAAGTTATTTATGAAATTGTTTATACCAAGTAACGTTATAAACGAGTTTACTTCTATTTGATAAAATGCAGCTTTGCTCTGATTTGATAAATAACTTATCTTTGTTTCTCCATGTTGATTTTGGTTTTTGGCTTTCGGCTTCCACGAGTTTTGGATTTTGGTGGCACCTTTAGCGTTTTGACTTGAACATAAATGTATGCATGCTTTCCTGTACACATTTATAATGTTTGTTTTTCTAATGCAATTATTTTAAGAATTATAAATATTGCGGCCAATGGTTTTTCAACTGTTGGAAGTTACAATGCAAATTGTGGTTTTATAATTTGTGTGCTTTAGATTTAACAGGTGAATTTATAATTGGTCAGAAAGTAATAGTCATAATCTCTTTGATGAGTCTTCTAGCAATAATAATAATAACTTGACGACTTTAACTGTTTGATTATCTTGAGAAATGTTGGACCTCTTAACAAATAATGCCATTCAGATCCTACTTAGATTCTATCTAGTTGGGAGTTTATTAATGGTTTTCTTACGCCTTTTATCTTTCTGATATGTATGTGCAGGAAGAGCCTAAGGAAGAGAGTGATGATGATATGGGATTCAGTTTGTTCGATTAATCGGTTCATCAGAGTACTGTTCCTTTGATTTTTAGCAAATTAGGATAGTCGAGAATCTTTTTAATTTTTTGTTTCACATTTTTGAGAAATTTCTTTTTGATTTTTGTCTTTTTGACAGTTTGACATAACTCTCGTTCAATGCAATATCCAAACTTTTCTGCTTTGATGTGACATTGCCATTTTTCATTACTATATCGACTCTTCTGAGATTCATTCAAGCTGGATTCACTTATCTGATTCTTACTATTGAATCAATTCCATGAATATTGGTCTTCCATGGACATGGTCGCCAAATTTTAAGGAGCTGATGGTGAAATTTTTTTATGTTTGGATTCGAATTAACGAAACAAGCTGAGGCCTTAATTTTGTTTTACTCGTAATTCCATGAATGTTGGTCTTCTATGAACACGGTTCCACCAAATTCACGATTCATGCATTGACCTAAAGGATGATTCATGCATCTTCCCACTATAAAATCTCCACCTCCAAAATATATACCGACTGGTCTGGTAAATTACGTATAATTCTGAGACTTAATCTATAGGATTTATAATTTAATTATGAGTTAAATCCAAAAATTTAACCATGCAAATAATCCAGGTAATCCAGGTTTTATCGACTTTCAACAATTTACAAACATCCCCAAACCATTTATTTATTCATTTTAAATCCCATCTAGAAAGGGCATTCCCCTCCAGGTCTCGTTCATTTCACCGATTCGAGTTTTCAGTTTTAGGTTTCTAAATTTTCAGAAAATGTCACATCTAACTTTTTCTACTACAGTGAAAAATTCTCTGAAAATGTTACATCTCAACTCGAATTAAAAATTTAAATTCATAAAGTGAACGAGCTCTTAAAAACGCTTGATTGCTTGGTTTGCACTCATTAAGCTCCCTACAATTGAAAAAAAAAAAAAAAAGAAAGAAAAAGAAAAAGAGAAAGAGTGGTTGATATAATTTACGTTTGGAAGAAGAATCCCTCTGGGCTATGGAAAACGGTTCAAATGATGAGAATGGTTGAACTGCCTCCCACGATTCTTCTTTCCACCTTTGAATTCCCCATCGCTTTCTAAATAATAAAAAAATTTGATCAAATCCTTTGGAAACTTCTACAATCTAAGGACTTGGACATATGGCAGCTCAGAAACACTTGTTTTTATAAAAAATAGTATAAAAGGAATATGCGAATTTTGCACCATTATTGATCATGCAAATTACAATGGACAATCCTTCCAACTAATCAGTGAGTTATCCAATCACCATTACCGGCCAAGGACTTGCACTGTCGTCCAAGTGGCAAAGCACGTGGCTTACTGGCTTTTGCGATGGCAACACGTGTCAGTCACAATGGGCGACACGTGTAAGCGTCAAACTATCGGGCTGGGTCCAGCCGTCCAGAAGCTACTAGGAAGAAACACGTCTCGGCCCACTTTCCCATCTCAATGACTCAATCCGGCGACCCTAGACATTTGTGAGGCCGACAATCCACGTTTCTTACTTGGGTCCCACGTCAGACCGATTTCCGACCGTCTTGAAATTGATTTCTCTTTTTTTTAATGAGTTTTAATGACCACTTCCAGCTCTTCACCTTCCAGATTATTCTATTTTCTCATCCCAAATCCCAAATTCCCACCCTTTTAAATTCCTCATCTTCTCTATTTCTCTCATCAACTTCTCCAATTCGCCGCAAAAAAAAAAAAAGCTCTTTCGTTTTCGTAGAATTCAATTTGGATTTCGCGCTCTGTTTAATCAACGTTCATCAATCATAATGGTGATGTCGATGTTCAGCTCGTTCGACGCCGTCTGCGCCGAAATCTCCAATTTCTCTATGCCAAAAGCCTACGGGATTTCCTCGGACTCCGTACACAAGGACAGAAAAGAGAACGGCGACAGCCACAATACCGGCAAGACTTCACCACCGCCGCCGTCAGCGCCGCCGTCGAAAGTCGCGACGGCTCAACGGAAACCGCAGAGAACGCCGAGGTTTGCGCCGGAGTTCGACGGAGTCCATTGTTTCGAGACCATTGTGCCGTACTGATGGATTGTACATAATATCAATTATATATGATACATATATTAATTTATTTATTGTTTTGGATTTTTGGTAATTAATAGGATTATTTGATTCCGTGTTGTCTTTTGTGGTATTAAGGTTGTGGGCATTGTATTTAAGAGTATTTTTTTACTAAAATGTTAAAATTTAGAGTTCATGATTCGTTTTATGATTCGAATCATGTTTTTTAATTTACTATACTATTTTATTTCATAAAAAAATATTATGAACTAAACGGATGAACTACAAAATACTACAAAATACTACGAACTAAACGGATGAATTAAACGGAACTCATAAAAAATACTACGAACTAAACAGATAAACTAAACGTACTCTTAGTATTGACACACTAAAATTTATGTAATACATGTTATTAAAAGAATCGATAAATACCTTGATACGAAACTCTTGGGGCAACGGTTGAGGGTCTAATTGCTCTCTCAATTTAAAAGTCTTGATAAGAGAACTGGTCACGAGAATTGGTTTGTAGAATCCCATCGCAGCAGTATATACAACATAACAAATCCAATATTTTTTTATTTATTGTTTTGGATTTTTGGTAATTAATAGGATTATTTGATTCCGTGTTGTCTTTTGTGGTATTAAGGTTGTGGGCATTGTATTTAAGAGTATTTTTTTACTAAAATGTTAAAATTTAGAGCTTATGATTTGTTTTATGATTCGAATCATGTTTCTTAATTCACTATATTATTTTATTTCATAAAAAAATATTACGAACTAAACAGATGAACTAAACGGACTCATACAAAATACTACGAACTAAACGGATGAATTAAACGGACTCATAAAAAATACTACGAACTAAACGGATGAATTAAATGGACTCTTAGTATTGACACACTAAAATGTATTACTATTAAAAGAATCGATAAATACCTAGATACGAAACTCTTGGGGCAACGGTTGAGGGTCTAATTGCTCTCTCAATTTAAAAGTCTTGATAAGAGAACTGGTTACGAGAATTGGTTTGTAGAATCCCATCGCAGCAGTATATACAACATAACAAATACAATATTTTGACGTAAATAAATAAACAACTATATTCAAACTACAAGGCTGCATTAGGAGGCAGTAACTTTGGGTAAGTCAAACGATTTTCAAGCACCATTCTCTAACATGAATTAAATATTAAAATTAAAGTATATTATTGACAACTTTATTAATGTGAATTAGTTAATATAATAGATACTCACTTTATTTATTGATTAGTTTGAGGCTCATGAAGATTTTTAAATGGAAGAATGAAATAGATAGCATATTTACTGTAAATAATTGATGTGAATAATATAGTTTTAAATTATTTAAAGTAAATAGTAATAAATTTAGTAAAAAAAACATTTACAAGTTATAAATAAAAAATCTCTTTACAAGTCATAAATAAAAAATCTCTTTACAAGTCATAAATAAAAAATCTCTTTACAAGTCATAAATAAAAAATTTACGTGATAAAAAATTACTATTTACTTTAAATATTTAAAAATGTTATTTACTTCGTAAAAGTGCTATTTACTACCATTTGTGTTAATATTTCTGTTAATAGAAGCCTAATAGGGCCACCAACACAAATAAGCTCATTAGACTGTGCAACACTTCAATATAAGTGCTCGTGGGACTATTTGTTTAAGGGCATTTGGTGGTGTGTGTGAGCATAAGTGTGGAGAAGCTATTTAAAATAGAAAGTTAAGGGTTGTTCTTTTGTAATGAAACTCAGAAAAAATTTGAACTCGAATTATAATTTTATTTAAATTCATGTTCATTTAACAAATTTGAGTTTGAACTCGAATTTGGGATTAAAGTCGAGTTCAAATTTTTTTTTTAATTCGAGTTCATAAACTCAAACTCAAGTTAATGAACATTATTTTTTCTATTCTTAAAAATGTCAGAACTTTTTTGTTTTAATTCTGATTGAGATGATTTTTTTTCTATGCATTCACAACGAAAAAATGAATAAAACCCCACCCATATACCATATTAAAATTTTTCATCACCATTGAGTTTTTATTAAAATACTATTTAAATACAAATTTAAGTTTTGACTCACCCAAACACAAACTCAAAAAGATTATCAATTCAAATCATAACTCAAATGTGCACATCCAAACACAAACTCAAGTTACAACTTCAACTCAAGTTATAACTCAAACTCAACTCAAGATCATAACTCAAGTCATCCTAACTCAAAAATGTAAAAAAAACAACTCCTTAATCACTTTCAAGCTTTTCTATTGCGAGTTTTGGTAGCTCGATAGTCACGCTAATACTTTTGAACATATCGTCAGGATAAAGATAATTAGTTACTAAAGTACTTAATTTGTCAAAATCGAGTATTTTTCGTTCTTCCGCAACATATGTTGCTTATTTCATGAAGGACAACGATTTTGTTGTCGTTTGAGTTTTCAAATGACATGTCATAAAATATTTTGTTGGTTGAACCTCTATAAACGACATGTTGTATGATGCTAGAATCCATGTCGTTTGTAAGGAAAACGACAACTAGCTCTTATATGTGTACTACCGCTGACGTTTATATTTCTACCAACAAAATAAAAAAAGCTGTCATTTATACGTTTTAATTATTTTATGGTTTGAGAAAATAGGGGACAATAGAGTTAAGACACATCTTATCAATATCAGCTCTAGATGTGAGCAAAATAACTAACTAACTAAATAAATAAACACATATATATCAACTCTAAATTTTGCTATTTATTTTTTCGGAACTGTTACGGTAGAAACCTATATTTACCTCAATCGTTATATTAATTTTTTAACAGTTTAATCTACGAGTGTTCACGTTAAAAATTTAAATACTAGACACATAATTACTTATAATCATAGATCATATTGTTAAAAAGTTAATCCAATGATTATAATAACAATATCTATTGGTAGATAAAAATACAGTGCATGCCATAAGTTTTGCTCCTCTTTGTGAATAAGATTTTGTGATTATTGAATGTGTGGGATTAATTATTCTTACGGGATTAAACTGCCCTTGAATTTTAAGTAAAAAGATTATTATCATTCATGCCCTTGAATTTTACACCTATTTTTAATTTGTTTAAGTTCCCACTTTAGTATTCCAAATTTTGAATAAATTTGAACTAGAGCATCAAAAATTCACTCTCATAATTAAGATTTAGATAGTCTTACTAAACTAAACCTTCTAATTATGGAGTTAATTTTGAAGAGACAAAGATCAACTCAGCCATATATTCTTGGGCCTGAATTTCTTATTGGGATATTTTTTTAGCACTAAAAACTCGAAATATATCAGGAACAAAAACCCTTTTTTTTTTTTTTTTTTTTTTTTTTTTTTTTTTTTTTAATTCTAACGTAAGATTATTCTAGCCATTGAAGTAATTACCAACAAAACAATAATAGCCAGTGTATTTGTAACTATAATTGTTATTCATGATAGTTGTTAACATGGAAATAACATAAATTTGTTAGTACTTTATAAACTTAATCCATTTCCTACTTCCTAGTGCATGTCAACCCATTAATATTCTTTTTCGATTACGCACTATTGTGTAATTGCAAGTCCAAGTTCTTCTTACTTTCCAACCAAAAAGGAAGAAAATAAAAAAAAAATTAAAAAAACTTCAAGTTCTTATCAAATAAAAATAAGGGCTTGTTCTTTTAGAGTTTAACTTGAGTATAATTCTTGAGTTGAATTTGAGTTTTAACTTGAATTGAACTTGTAACTTGAGTTTGTGTTTGGTTGTGTACATTTGAGTTATGGTTTGAGATAAGAATCTTTTTGAGTTTGTGTTTGAGTGAGTCAAAACTTGAATTTGTATTTAGATAGTATTTTAATAAAAACTCAATGCTGATGAAAAATTTTAATAGGGTATATGGGTCGGGTTTTATTCGTCTTTTCGTTGTCAACGCATAGAAAAAAAAATCATCTCAATCCAAATTAAAACGAAAAAGTTATAGCATTTTTAAGAATAGAAAAAATACTGTTCATTAATCTGAGTTCGAGTTTCTAAACTCGAGTTAAAGGGGAAACTTGAACTTGAGTTTTAGTCATAAACTCGAGTTTGAACTCGAGTTTAAACTCGAATTTAAACTTAAAAGAACATGAACTCGAATAAAGTTATAACTCAAGTTGCATTTTTTTGAGTTTTTCACTCAAAAGAACAAGCCCTAAATAACTCAATACCTAAAGCACTATTCTTTAGCATTATCAATATGATTAGGCTTAGGCCACTACAAATTTAAGGGCATGTTCTTTTGTCCATAAAACTCAAAAAAAGACAACTTAAGTTTCAACTTTATTTAAGTTTACGTTCTTTTAAGTTTTAATTTTATTTAATTTTACTCAACTTTATTCAAATTCTAACTTCAACTCAAGTTATAACTCAAATTCAACTCAAAAATTACACTCAAATTATACTCCAAAAGAATAACCCTAGTTGCTTGTAAGTTATATACATTTAGCGTGAGAGTCCCAAAAGATATAGTAAAACATGTGCGTGTGGTAAACGCACTCCCAAATGACGTGGCCTAGTTTTGTTCTACAAATCAAGATACTTTTGAAAAAATTGGATACACATTATTAGATAGCGTTATCCTTTTCTTTCCAATGTAGGATATATTGCAATATCAATACACTCCAATGGATATTTTTTTTTTCCCTTTTTCTATTCATAAAAAGTAAATAATCAAGCGAATTATATATAAAAGTAACTAGGAATGTTATATATAGATATAGATATTCTTTACTTTCCTTGACCATCAAGACAGGTCATATTCCATTGCTTTACTTTATCTCTTGTCTCTTTCTTTCTATATTTAAAGCAATAAGTCATTCGAGAGGATAAGTATTAAGTACTAATTTCTCTCTCAGAAGAAATCAGATAATTAAGCTGATCTTCAAGGCTGCAATGGCTGCGGGTACGGTATGCGTGGCACTGCCTGTTGTGGCTGCTGTCGTTGGTCTCTATTTGTGTGACAGAAACCATTCCAAATCCAAGGTAAGAAAATGGATAATACTAGTCTAGCAGCATGATCTTGATGGCAGATCTTTTCTTAGTTTTGATGAAGTGTCTTTGTAATGGTTTTTAATATGTTAAAGGAATTCGGAGGCGGGATTCGAGCTTCTTTCGAAGAAGTTATGGCGAAGGCAAAGGTGGAGGTCAAGACTAGTCAGATGCCGAAGTTGGCGCCGCAGTTTGATGGTTTGGACTGCTTTGAAACCTTTGTGGTTCGCCGGTAGTTCAATCAATTATAGGTGATCTTCCTGGTTTAGCATGATGAAGATCCTGCAAAACCGGAGAATTTATCATGGTGTTTGTGTCCTTACGACAGGACATATATACAAGATAAATTATTGAAGGAAAGAAAGCTTATAATCTCCTATGTGAAAAACTCCAGCATTTTTAATCAAATATGGTTTCTTTCGCCATATAGTCATCCTCTACTTTCCTGCAAAAAGTATTTGTCGGCAGAAGCTAGCATTGTATATAGATATATGGCCAGTTATTATGTTCTCATGAATCTTATTTATGTTCAAAGTACACGAAGGATTTATACTTTTCGGTTGTTGCGCATTCATGACAAGGACTCAAATCCTACAGTTTCGTGTAATGTATGGCTTTATTTCCTTAGAGCCTTTGGTCTTTGTAGAAGAGCTTTCCGTCAAAGCCATAAATTCTAGGCCTTTTCACACTATTCCTTTTTAAAAGATACAGGACTACAAGAAAAAATGGAGTATGATGCCAAGTAAGTTGATTGGAATACGATTTCCATGTAATGAATTGCTGCTCGTGACTGTTTTACTAGAAAAATTGGAATATGAACTCAAACCAGAAGGAAAATCAGATGGATGAATCTGGACTAACAAAAGCATTGAAGATATAAAAAAAGGGAGATTGATTGAAATCCTGTAAGAAGTTGTTGATTGAAATCCTCTAAGTAGTTGAGAATTTGGTAGATGTAAAATCCTAAAGAAAAATTCTGATTTGAGTATATACAACCATACGCACTCATACTCTGCACGTAACAGATTCACATGTTAATCAAACGAAACCAGTTTCACATGTTCTCTCTACATAGTTTTTTCCATATCATTATCACAATCTCTTGCCCACATTTGCAAGCCTTCTGGCCACACCAAATATAACTGCCTTGGTCAAGAGCCCTTGATCAAGAGTACAAGCCAGGATAATTGCTCCACTCACAATTAAGACTTTTGGTATGTTCCTTCTCCGCGGTTTTTCAGACGCCTTTTCCACTTGTGTCTCTAACGAATTGTCGGTAATGTCACCCAAGGATCTCATGTAGTGTGGATTTATTTTGGTGTTGATACTGGCCATAAAAGCCGGCCGAGAAAGTGGAGCTCCTGATGCTCTCTCTTTCTGGTACGCCCTCAAACCAGGCTCAATCTTCTTGACAGTGCCCCACATCCCTTTCCTGACTCCAAGCTTTGCGATTTCCCATGGAATTCCCATGTCTTCATGATGAAAGAGTAGCACTTCGCAGGCGCTCAGTTGCCCATCACCGCTTGTAGATTCCACTGTTCACATTCAACATAAGCTATCTTAATACAAAGCCAAGATTCAGCTTCAAATTGGAGCAAAATGAGAAAGTCGGATCGATGAAATGAAGTGGCACAATTTACCTGCTCGGACACACCAACTCGAGTAGTACAGATCAACTCGTCTTGGTTTATCGTGCCTCGGGATTGAAGGACATGGCACTCCCTTAAGGGCAAAGAGAGACAACATCAGATTGGAATTAAGTTTCAGTCCCAATTAAGCGACTTTGGAATACAAAATTCCTATCCTCGTACCTTTGTTATGCAGTAATACGACCTTCCTGATTCCCATATCCGACGACCTATTATGTATTCTCTGTCTTTGCAGAAAAATGGAAACTGCATGGACCAAGAAGATGCGAAAGTAAGTGTATGCAATCAAGGCTGAAGAGTTGAAAAACATGTATAATACAAAGTATTACCTTCCTTATCCACTGAACAACCATTGTTCCTGTGGTTGGACATTCACTTATAGTTTCCGAATATGCAAGCATGTCGTCCCACTTTGATCGAAAATGGTCATCCCAGAAAAAATCCCTAACTATTTCAGGCATGGCATTCTCAAAGATAGTGCTGCTACGATATTGAGGAGGACCAGTCTATGACAAAAAGAGAGCAATAAAACAAATTCACGCGCAAACAAAATAAACTTTAGTTTTAAGTTAAAGCTATATCATCTGTAAGTCATTTAGTTTGTTTTGAAAGATTACCTTGGGATCTCTTCGCCATCCTTTGTAGCGCATAGTTGGCGTGGAACGGTCCATCATTTCTATCCATGTAGGACCTCCATCTTTCATCTCCACAAGCAGGCAAAGATGTTCCAAATCCTCCTCAGTCACAACACTCGAATTCCCTTCATCAATATGCAATGTGCTACACAAGCACAATCAAACAATCAGAACTCCGAAACTTCATCACCCTAAAACTCCTAAACACATCCATCTAAATTTAGGCCCCGTTCATTTCACCGTTTCGTTTCCTACAGTAAAAAGCTCTCAGAAACAGTCACGTCTAACTTTTTTACTACAGTAAAAAACTCTCACATAAAGTCACATCTAAACTCGAATCAGCGAACTAAACATGCCCTTAGTTTTGCCCACAGAGTATTTATATTATAAATAAATGCAAATGCAAGCAGACAATAGGCACACAGTTACAAAATTGCAATCACAGGAATTTAAACTCAAAACTTACTATTATACCATGTTAGTTACCATTCTTCCTAAAAGCTTAAGCTATTTATGAGGGTATTTATATTCTAATAATATTTAAATACACGAAACCGCCTTAGCGGAATCTAGATAACAAGAAAAAAAGGGTCTCAAATGAGAATTGTAATAAACAGTTCAAGAACTCTATGTCAACAATTTTGGTAGGTGTCAACAAGGCAATAAAACTTACTAAGCAACGAGTTCAAACTATTCTAAGCCAGAAACATCGTATGAAAACAAAGAAATACGTAGTTCTACCAAAAAAAAAAAAAAAACCAAAGAAATACATAGTTGCATCACAACAAATAAGTTTCATGGAATTTTTAGTACCTGTAATTATTAAAACCGGAAGGCTTATCCGTTGGTGTGGAAGATAAAGATAAGTTCTTCTTGTCCAAGGATTTTGAAGGAGAAGAAGAAAAGTCCAAATTATTGTCGTTTCCAAAGCTTGCCCATTTGGGTTTCCACGCCCATCCAACCATAACTCCGACAATAAACGCAACCCAAATAGGAACCAAAAACATAATCATTCCTGTACAAACTCCCACCATTGTGGGTCTTTCTAATACTCTCTGAAAAGCCTCAACAAAAACCATTTATATCTTCCAAAAAAAAAAAACTAATTGGATAACAACATAATTGCCAAAATTTAGATAGTACGTAGGAAGCCTAGTATACAAACTCCAATGGAAAATCACATTCAGATGATGAGGAGAAAAAAAAAAAAAAAAAAAAAGAGCACAGAAATGAATAGTGGTTAAATGGATTGAAGAAGAAGGTAGAAAAATGGTTTAAAATTCATGTAACGGCGTCGTTTTTGTGGAAGAGGAAGAGATTTTTCCGTTTGGAAAGAATCAAAGAATATGAAAAGGGAATAAAAAGGATTGGAGGAGGATAAATGAGGATTAGATTCGCGCGTATTTGTCGTAGATTTAATTAGCTTAAAAAGCAAAAAAAAAAAAAAAAAAAAAAGACAATAACTAATAAAAGAAACAGCAAGTACGTTTAAGTACTACGTGGACGATTTTAAGAGGATGGGAAATATGTTCCTGGGGTTTTTGTGGTCGTCGAGGTTTCTTGATTTTCACGTTTTTTTTTTTTTTTCTTATTCTTGCTTTTTACGTCATCTAAAAACTGGGGGGTTCTCTTTTTTGGCAACGTTCATTTTAAAGCAAGGATTTATCTTCTTATTCCAAAAAATTTTTAAAGAAAGGAAATACAGGATTTATCTTTTTTTTTTTGTTTTTTGCTTGAAAATAGAAGAATGATATTACGAGTCTTGCGTTATCCCTCTTTGCCAATGGCTCCATGCCATTAAAAATGGCAAAATTTTCGAATTCCGGTACTTGATATAAAAAGTAAGTAATAGTTTACGCAAGTATTTTTTTTTTTTTTTTCAATAGAAACTATTGGGGAAGGTTAGATTTGAGTTGGCAAAGAAAAAAGAGACTCAAACCTTGTGCACATCATGATTATTATCAAATTAATGTAATAATAACTAAGCCCCTTTACGTAATTGTGTACAGGTTCTAATTAGGGAAAAAACTAAAAATAACACTTAAAATGGTTAAAAATATTATTTATACCACTTTATTTAAAAATAAATACGTGTTATTCAACTCATAAGAAGAAAATAAAAAATAATTATGATATCTAATTATTTAGAATGACATAAATTTGAAAACTTTTTTTTCTAATTAACTTAGAGGTTATTCTATTTTCAATGTTGATCTATAAATTTTGAATTTTCCAATCCTAACTTACATTAAAAAAAAAAAGCCTATGACCGGTTGGTCTTAGCGGCACCGAGGGGGTTTGATTTGGGTTGAGTTAGGTTGAGTTGGGTGTGGTGGGATTTGAGAGAAGATTGTGGGTTGTATATGTATTGTATAACAGATTTTTGAAACAAAAATAGTAGGAAACAGGCTAATATAAAAAGCTTAAGAAAGTATATAGGTCAATTTTTAATTATATAAATTAATAGATCATAACTTGTCAAGTTATGGTTCATAACCAAATAAGTTATGGACAAACTTGTCAAGTTATGGTTCATAGCCAGACAAGTTACGGACAAAACCATGAATTATGGACAATAACTTGTCAAGTTATAGTTCATAGCCAGTCAAGTTATGGTTCATAACCAGACAAGTTATGGACGAAAACAGTAATTTAGTATATTTATTAACTTATGTAAACTATTGGCCTATTAATTTTAATTCATCTCAAATCTTAGCCTATTTTCCTTTTTCTCCCGTTTTGAAATTAAATTGAGTAAATAGCAACTTGTAAAACTATTCGAAGTATATAGCAGTTTACTGTGTAAATGATTTATTTATGATTGGTAAAAAATAATTTACATGATAAAATTTCACTAGTTGTAAAAAGAAAATTACACGAAAAAAATATTTTTACTAGTCGTCAATGAACCATTTACGCAATAAATAACTATTTAATTCAAATAATTTTAAAATCTACTATTTACTTAATTTTTCCTCATAAATATGCTATTTACTACATTTTTCCAAAAGAGTCTTCTTTATAAAAAAAATAAATAATGAGAAAATTTTTGAACTTATTCTTAGTGCATGAGTTTGAATTTTTACCCAATATTATTAATAAGTATCCTTTTATTAATATAGTTATTTGAATAAAAATGGAATTAATAAAAAAAAAGGGTAAAAATGAAGAGTCATGCACCTAAAGTATTTGTCCATATTTATCTTATAAGTTTATGGAGAAAGGAGACAAATACTCTTAAAAATACACGAGTCATGATTTTTACCTCTTACTTTTAATTAATAATCTTTTTAGTCAAATAATTATACTAATAAAAGAGTATTAATCAAGAATAAAGGGTAAAAAACCATATAACAGACTTGTTTAGTTGCATTTTGAGTTATAGTGACTTGAGTTGAATTTGAGTTATAATTTGAGTTGAAGTTATAACTTGAGTTTGTGTTTGGATGTGCACATTTGAGTTATGATTTGAATTGAGAATCTATTTGAGTTTGTGTTTGAGTGGGGCGAAACTTGAATTTGTATTTAGATAGTATTTTAATAAAAACTCAGTGGTGATGAAAAATTTTAATAGCGTATATGGGTGAGGTTTTATTCGTTTCTTTGTTGTGAACGTATAGAAAAAAAATCATCTCAATTGGAATTAAAACGAAAAAATTATGACGTTTTTAAGAATATAAAAAATATTGTTCATTAACTTGAATTTGAGTTTAAGAACTTGAGTTGAAGGGAAAACTTAAACTCAGATTTTAGCTCAAAACTCAAATTAAAACTTGAGTTAAAACTCAAATTTTATAAATAAACATAAACTTAAATAAAATTATAATTTAAATTTAAATTTTTTTTAAGTTTTACTCAAAAAAAACAAGTTTGTAATTTCTCTACCTTTCTCCATCTTGGGCAACCCAATTATAGCATTGCAAACCCAATGCTTATCAGCAACAATAAATTGGGCTAGAAATAGAGAAAAGTAAAAAACGAGTTGGGCCGAGCCTCAGAAAGAGTGGTCTACTACTCACTAAGCTAGGTCCAACCTCGATTAGCCGAAAAAGTAGGTCCCACTTCACTACGTAAGTAGGAGTGGAAAAAAGTGGAGACATCATAATATCCAACGAATAAGATTTGCGCAAATAGAATCACAAATATAAATAGTAAAAATCCAATATCCCCCACATTTCAAATTTTACACTCCGAAACTGAAAGGCGATTCAATCATGCACTTTAGGACCAGGTTAAATTCCCCACGTGATTTCTTTACGTTCCCTGTAGTTGCGCCACGTGGAGCGAACTATGCCCCTTGTGAACCTCCCGGCTCGAACTCCAACAGCTGCTTCTCAAACTTGTTTTTAGATCTCTCTCGATTTAAATCCTCTGCGGTCGAACCTACCTAATTCCATTTCACCACCCAATCACGTTCCTCCACCTTAACAATGCTCTGTTCGGTGCCGGCGGGCAAGTCCGCCGGCGGCTCGAACTGGCTCAGCCGGATCCGCTCCATAAAGGGCTTTCCCGCCGGCGATGACGACGACCTCGGCCACTTCATCACCCAAAACCTTAACTCGTCCGCCTCCGAGTCGACTCGGCTGGACCCACAGAGAATCGCCGTCCCGAATAGCCCGGAGGCTCCGGGGCGAATCAGGGGCCGAGTAGAGCCGGAATGGGTCGGCGCGATGGACACCGTCCTGTCCGAGCTCTTCTTCATGGGCGGCGCCGGCGAAATTAGCTCCTCCAGGCATTCCGGGAAAAGGATTCCCAGGAAACAAACAAACCCTAAAATCTGTGCGGCGTCCGCCAGCAATAACAACAACAACAACAACAACAGCGGCAACAGCAACTCGAGCGGCGTCGTCGAGCAGAAAAAGAAAGGCTCGGATTTTGCTCCGAAAACCGCGTCGTTGAGTTCGGACAGTGGCAACAATAGTACTAGAGAAGGACATGGCAATGTCGATGTCGATTTCGATGTCGACGATGAAGACGAGGACGAGAAGGAGCTAAAAGGATACTCGAGGAGTGAAGTGACGGTGATCGATACGAGCTGCGGATCGTGGAAGTCGGAGAAGCTGGTGTTTAGGAGGAAGAGTGTGTGGAGAGTTAGGGAGAAGAAGGGGAAGCTGAGGAATTTTGGGAGGAAGAAGAGGAAATTAGCCATTGATGATCATCATGTCATGTCTTTGGCTTCATCTGATCATCACCAATCTTTGATCATGCCTTCATCAGATGAAGTAAGACTATGAATTTCATTACATATTATTTGTTGGTCTAGTAAAATTATGTGTTTTTAGCTATGAATTTATGGATTTTGTTGGTTGTTGTTGAATCCTCTAAATCTGGGTGCTTTGTTATTTCATGCTTTAAGCTGCACTGAATCACAAAAATTAGCATTCATAATCATATAGAAAGCTAAGTGAGGTTGCTGGATATATCTTGAAATGGTAAATGTTGTTCTTGTTGTTTTTTGAGAATATTGGCAAATGCCAGATTTCCCTTTCAGGATTCTCTATTTCTTTTGCAATTAATGGCTAGTTTGTGTTTTGTTATCTTATAAATCGCACTTGTTTAAGAAGTGTAACTTCGTTTAAGAATTAAGATTTTTCCTTTTTTTTTTTTTTTTCAAGGCACTTTACACTGGCTCCTGTGGTTACTTATACAGTTTGATAGTTTCAATTTAGAATGTTTGATGTGTTATGAAAATGTTTGCTATAAGTAATTTCTATTTCATAATGGGCGGTGCTGATTCCTTAAAGAAAGATTCTGGTCCCTTTTGATAATGCTAGTGCAGATTTCTTCAGCTTATGTTATTTCCCATGATGTACTTTATTTGTGTTGTAATTTTATGTAATTTGAGTATGATATCTGCGAAAATATTTCTTGTAAATGTAAGCATTGTTAAGATAAGATCATTTTTCTTTCGTGTGTAATTTATCAGCTTAAGGTTGGGAACTGCATCAGAATAACCTCTCTGGGTTTTAAATATTTTTTACTGAAAGTTGTAGTAGTAAACACTCCTTTTTATATTCCTTTTGTTTTCATTATAAAAAGAAAAAGAGTTAAAATTATGCAAGCATTATGAACAATCTACCCTAATCTATCTTTTTAGGTGAAAAATCTGTGAGTCAGTGCTAGGGAATGAGAAAGACTGCAAAGAATAAATGTTATTGAGAGCATACTGCATGACCACACATCACTTGCATCTCTTGCGGCTCTTCTTTATGTGGGCTTTTACAATTTGGATATTGGTTTTCATTTTTGACAATCAGATGGATAAATTTGTTAGATTTTATGTCGAGTTTTGAAGTTACCATGTAAATGTGGATTGTTATATTCTCTCTCTTAAGGAGAGGCTAATAAGAGGGAAGAAAATAATTGCTTTGCTCGTCTCATAGAGATATTGTCTTGCATTTCTCATAGCTCCATTAAGGCATCATGTGTTTTAAGGTCATTGCCTCCATTGGGATGCATCTTTGCATAACAAAACAAATTAAATGTACAGAGGTGGTTCTGCCATTTTTGGATTTGAAAACAATTTGCAATTTCTTCTTCTGAAAAAAAAGGAGAAAAAAAAATGCAAAAATGAGGAATAAAGGTTATACCTTTCTTGGATGTAGCATGTTAAGTAATCATCATTTGAGGTTTTTGCTATTCATATTTGCATGAACCTGAAATATGCGTCTCTTTTGCCTCGCTTCATTGTGCAGGGACAAAACTTAAAGAACGACTCTAGGGAAGAAAAATGCAAAGGCACAGCAAATAATCTTAATATGACGAGAGAAGAAGTCAGTACAGACTCACCAAATAACCTCAGCGAAGATCTTAAGAAAAGGTAAGTGCAGACCACAAGCCATATCCAGTTCTCGGCATTTTTTTTTAACAAAAGGCCATATCCAGTTCTCGGCATTCTTGTTTTCCAACATCCACTTCCACTATACTCTCTAACCATGTGTGCACTGCAGGTCTCAGGTTTCTGGATCACTGAAGAAAGTGAAAAAGGGTGGCTCATCAGTTGTTCTTATCAAAGGCGTTCCGACAGACAAGAAAAACGCAGTCAAGCTTTCTAAGAACTGTCCCAAGAACACTCAAAAACAAAACAAGACTTAAAAGACTCAATGCTACTCCAAATTGTTTATGAATCAGACGGGGACCACCAGCGATGCAATCGCCTCAGCATTCTTTAAATCATCTGTATTCGATTCTTTTTGTATCATTTCTCCCGGAAACGTATATGGGGTTTGTTCATACTCCATATACGGACATTGAGAGTGGTCGTCGTGCTGATCCATCCTTGCCAATTAAACAAGTTGTGAATAGTGAAATTTATTTTTGTTTCTCTCTGCGTCTCAACAATCTGTTCGTGATATGTCATTCTTGATTTTCTCTGTAAACATGTTAGTCAACAAAGTTTAATGTTCAATAATTCAAAGTTCAAACTATTGTTTATTTGACTATCGCCCACCATATTTTTTTGTTCATCTAGTCTTGTCTTTGCTTACCAAACTAATTGTAATAAAATCTCATGTTAGAAGATCATGAAAGCAGCGGTGTTAAAGTTCTGTAAATTTCCCTATAAAAAAAAAAGTCTGTAAATTTCATGAAAGCAAAATTATTTTTAAGGCTCCAGTTTAATCACCATCATAAGTTCTGTGTAAGTTATATGTCGTGATTTTTTGTTATGATTATTATTACTCTGATGAGTGTTATTTTTCTCCTCCGTAATTATTTCTTCGTATATCTCAAAAGGGCTTCTTATTGTGGGCTGGACTGAAATGTAAGAAGGCCCATTGTAGATGGGATTTTTCTGGCTTTTCTTGATTCTCAAGCGTCAACGGTACATTATTCATGTTGGTAGTTCAAAACAAAAGTGACTGGTAAGAATTGGAATTTTTGTTTACAGTTTTTGAGGAGACCGAAAATGGTTGGTCTACTCGCTTCGTCAAAAACCCCTTGTCATTCTTTCCCTTTTCTTGAATCTCTTCTTCCATACAAACAAATAAATTCTCGTTTCTCTATATCTATATATTCATCTGCTTTCCATCACAAAGAGTGTTTCTCTTTCTTGAACAATAAAGCCCCGAAATTTCCACCGAAACCGATATCAAGACAAGCGTGTTTTCAATCCGGGGAAAGGGTTTTAATCAAATGCAGTTGTGTTAACTCGTCTTTGAGTTCTCAGACTGAAATGGGTGAGTTATTCTAACGGACATTTTGTCAAACACTTCGTAGACTTATAGATTAGTTTTGAGTCCATGATGAACTATTGTGTTTCAGGGATGTTATTCTCATTTTTTGGGGTACTTGGGCTTGATGAGGCGGAGATTGAGGTACTTCTGGACAAGAATTCGGCTCTTATGTCGGCATCTTTGGATTTGGTTCGAGCTCGGATACTTTTCTTTCAATCTGTTGGAATTGATGGCTTTCCACTCTGTCTCTTGATCACTAAACGACCAAATGTATTAACGGCTGAGGAAGTTGATCATTTCATAAGTTTTGTGGTCGATGATTTGGAAGGAAAGATCGAGGCTTCGCAATTGGAGCGTGTTTTCACAACTGTAGAGCCAAGATTCTTGGCGGGTTTTGATCAAAAGGTCAAACTACTTCTTGAAAGAGGAGTTCCTGAGGAAAAGATTGTTCACATCCTCAACACTGTCAATTTATCTAAGGCATTATGTACCAGGCCAGCTGAAGAAATCGATAGGACCATCACTTTCTTGAGCCGCTTTGGAGGCATTGATCTGATTGTGAAGCGTCCAAAACTTCTGAACTATGATATGGAAAGCCAGTTGATTCCGAGAGTTGGGTTTCTCATGAAGCTTGGTCGGGGTGATGAGGATGCCATTGGGACCGTGTTGACTAAGCTCCCTGCGGTTTTGAATTACAGCGCGGAGCATATGAAGAACCATGCCGAGTTTTTGAGGTCTTTTGCCGGCCTAAATGATGAGGAGATTTTCAAGGTTGTGGTTGCTTATCCCAATGTGTTTAGTGCTAGCAGGGACAGGAAATTGTATCCTAGAATACAGTTTCTCAAAGAATGCGGGCTGGATTCAGAAGATCTCTTTAGGTTCTTGACTAAAGCTCCCTTGTTTCTTGGCCATTCATTTGATGACAACATTGCCCATAAACTTGTTTATTTGATAAAGATTGGGTATAGGTACAGAACCAAGGACTTGGCAGTGGCAATGGGATCAGTAACCAGAACAAGCTGCCAGAATATGCAGAAGGTACTGGGGCTATTCTTGAGTTACGGTTTTTCGTACGAAGACCTTCTTGCTATGAGCAAGAAGCACCCTCAGATACTTCAATATAATTGTGTCTCTCTCGAGAAGAAGATGGAGTACCTAATAGGGGAGATGGGTCGAGAAATCGAAGAGTTGTTGGCTTTTCCTGCATTCCTGGGTTACAAACTTGATGATAGAATTAAGGCCAGGTATGAATCAAGAAGGAAGATTCTGGGAGGAGGAATGTCACTAAATAAGCTTTTAACCGTTTCCAGTGAGAGATTTTCGCAAAGAGGAGAGACCCCGGTTCATGTGATTGAAGAGTAAAGGAAGGTTAACTATGTTGGACAACGGTGTGATTTTCTTTCCAAAGTTCATTTCAATCACTTATAGGCCTAGTTATTCCACTGAACTGTGCAAAAAACTTGATGCACAAGAACTTTGTAGAATACTAATAGCACATAAACAGGCCAAATGGTGCACAATCAGCTTGGACTTAGAAACTGAATTTGATATTTGCATAAGAGTGAAGACGTTCATTTTATGATGACTGAAGCTTGTATGTATTACATGGTGTGGCTAGAATTTTAATACCTTTTTCTCATTAATTTTAAGCCATAGTAAATTGGTAGAAGACTTTACAATTAATATTTTATGGTTTTGAGTTTGGTCCATGTGTTCTTCAATTATATTATACTTGAAATGATTATGCCTGATGAGAAGAAGAAAATTGTAAAGACAAAAATGCTGTTCTGTGAATTTCGGCACATTGTCTCTTGCAAAGTCGCATTGTGAAATTCTTTGACATTGGATCTACCCATTAGGTGTCTAATTAGGGTGGTTTTGGACATAAACCAGTTGAATACTTGCTGGCTATCTAGCATAATCATTACATTACAAATAATAATGCTGTTGACTCAGATTAACACAATAAAGTGGAGGGTTAATGGTGGGCCAATAGTTGAATTTGGTCATCCATTTGCTCTTTTTTATGCATTCAAATGGCCCTTTGTGCAACCCCCTCGGTTACCAAATGATAGATCGTGCCAAAGGGAGGGAAAAAAGTAAAGTACCTAGAGATGAAAATCCGACAAAAGTCTAAACTAACTTTAATTTTGTGTACAACTAAAACAAAGCAAAACACGTCATTCACAACAAGGGAACCGCTTCACAGCTTAAGAATAGCTGTTTTGGCCCTTTGGGTGTTATAAGTTAGCTGTCAATTCTCCAAGCAAAAAAGGTTAGCTGCCAATTTTGTTGTTATTCATGACCATTTGCCTACAAATGGGGTTTCTGGCTAATCCTTCCTAATCTTGGTATCACTCATCTCCTTAGTCCTTAGACAAGAAAAGAAAGATATTGACACTAGATAACGCTTCCACTTAAAAAAGACAAAGCTAGAACCGATTAGTCTAAAGCAAGATTGTCTAATCACCTAGAGTTACATCAGTGCCATTCAATCATACCAACTGAGGCAACTTAGCGGCTAACAATGTTTTCTGGGGGTTTCCTTTGCCTCCATCCAAAGTTTTTGACCGTTTTGCTTACTGTTTCAGGTATTCATTTTTTTTTTTTTGAATGAGAAAATGTGATACATAGTCCGTTCCTTGCTTAAGAAAATGAGAAATGTTGTCCAAAATCTTGCAATGTTAAATGCGTATGCTTTTTGTCACTTTTGTATTCAGTGTACAAGACATTCATAATGGGATACAAACAACTAGTAGAAGATCTTTATCCATTTTTGTCCCAGTATTTTAGTTCAAAATTCACACCTAGTTTATGGATGTTCTTGCAAAGAATTTGATATTCATAATTTCTTTCAAGAGTAAGATCATGTCTGAGATGATTATAAGGCTAATTAAAACCTTTTTCATTTTTTTTTCTTTTTTTTTAAAGAAAGGTATTCAAAGTTTCTTAGTGGAGTCGCTGCAAAAACACCCGCACTAGTTAAATATTTTAGAACCAATGTAAAGAGAGCACTGCGAAAAAAATAACATTTTATCTGATAATCATTCCTTCTTTGAGGTTATGTTTGCTTCGCTTTCTTACGATCCTTCACCGCTGAAAATGGGAGCATTACAATCCTGTCTTTGAAAATCTGGGGAAGAGAAGAATCTACAGTATACGTACTGTCAATTCATAACTGGGAAAGGATATGATATATATATATATAAATATATGTATATACTTACATATATATAATATATAAAAAAATAAAGAAACAACCAAGATTTTTTGTTCGTTGATAGTGCTAGTCTCATAGAATTTCCATCAGTACTGTTCTATAGTAGACAAACGAGCATAACAATGGGGACAAGAGAATATCAAATGCAAGTGGACAAAACTTTATCAAGACTTCTTTTTCTTTTTCTATAAATAAATAATAAATGGTGCACTAAAGAAAAGTTATAAAAGGAAAAATGGCCTCATGGTGCATTACGTTTTGGTGCTGCACATATGTGGGAGTGACGCAATCACAAACTTCTTAAACCAATATTGAGAGTAAAAGACCGTGGAAGATACAAGCATCAAGACCAGTTTTCCTGTGGAACTTTGCCAAAATGTTCCCTTCGTTGTCTGTCTTTTTGATTATGGTTAGCTTTTTCTAGATCAAAGTATCACCAACGACCTTCTTTTTCTCTATATAAAGAGAAGTGATTAACTCACATAGACACACATATACGGAGAGTAAAGCATATGCACATACTCTCCCGGCCCCTAAACTTTGGTGTCTCTAAGAATGAGTTTTCCTACACAAATGAAGGACAATCACACAGCCCTCCTACTTGTATTCATGTCTCTTCTGATCTCACTCGTGAATATCGAAAATTACTTGCTCACCGCTGTCGACGCCAAAAGCAATGTCAGTGTCCTACTACACCATTCTTTATTCATTTGAAACCTTGAGCCATGTTGGAAACTAAATTCTTTGTGAATGTTGAAATAGCAGGTTTACATCATTCATATGGGGAAAAAACAGCGTGAAGATGCAAAACTCCTGAAGAAAACTCATCACGAGGTGCTCGCTAAAGTTCTCGGAAGGTATGGCATGGAAACTCAAAACTCTTGTTGAGTTTCCAAACTAGTTTTAGTTTAGTCACTGGAAAAGCCAAAACTTACTCTTTTCATTAACCTCAGCAAAGAAGAATCTGCAAGAGCCATGGTCTACAGTTACAAACATGGCTTCTCTGGTTTTGCGGCCAAGATGACAGAAAGCCAAGCCCAAAAAATTTCTGGTAATTAGGCCCCATTACCACGAGCCATGTGCTAATGTGCAAAGTACAGTCATTTTCCCAAAGACTTGAGAGCTGTTGGGATAAAACATGACCCCTCCTACTTTGACAAATTGACCACCTTTTTGTCCTAAAGCTTGAGTTTTGGAAAGTGGGCATTTTGTTTATTTACTTTTAGCACTTGGGCAATCATTGCATTTTGCACAAACGAGCAAAATATATCAGAGTCATCAAGATGCGTTATATTGCATGTACATGCTCATAAACGAAGCCAAAAAACACCAAATTCAGAGGCTATCTAATATCTATCAACAAAATAGTAAAACTCTTTATTCATTTGAAACCTTGAGCCATGTTGGAAACTAAATTCTTTGTGAATGTTGAAATAGCAGGTTTACATCATCCATATGGGGAAAAAACAGCGTGAAGATGCAAAGCTCCTGAAGAAAACTCATCACGAGGTGCTCGCTAAAGTTCTCGGAAGGTATGGCATGGAAAACTCAAAACTCTTGTTGAGTTTCCAAACTAGTTTTAGTTTAGACACTGGCAAAGCCAAAACTAACTCTTTTCATTAACCTCAGCAAAGAAGAATCTGCAAGAGCCATGGTCTACAGTTACAAACATGGCTTCTCTGGTTTTGCGGCCAAGATGACAGAAAGCCAAGCCCAAAAAATTTCTGGTAATTAGGCCCCATTACCACGAGCCATGTGCTAATATGCAAAGTACAGTCATTTTCCCAAAGACTTGAGAGCTGTTGGGATAAAAAATGACCCCTCCTACTTTGACAAATTGACCACCTTTTTGTCCTAAAGCTTGAGTTTTGGAAAGTGGGCATTTTGTTTATTTACTTTTAGCACTTGGGCAATCATTGCATTTTGCACAAACGAGCAAAATATATCAGAGTCATCAAGATGCGTTATATTGCATGTACATGCTCATAAACGAAGCCAAAAAACACCAAATTCAGAGGTTATCTAATATCTATCAACAAAATAGTAAAACTACGGAACTCGTTGAAAAGATTTTAAAGCCTGAAATTCGAACCAAAATGCAATTTTATAAGACGAGTAACTCCAATCGTTATGCTCAAGCTGCAATTTGAAGTTAGACTTGAACTTTTGACTAATGAGACTTATGGCTTTAGGAAAAAAAATAAATAATAATTCCAATGATTAACAAGATTTTTTGTTTGGTTGTAGAGTTACCTGGTGTGGCACTGGTTATACCAAACGAGCTTTACAAGGTCCAAACGACAAGAAGTTGGGACTATCTTCAACTCTCGTCGCGTTATCAAACCCATTTTCTGCAGAAATCCAAACTGGGTGAAGATGTGATCATAGGTCTCTTTGATACAGGTCATTATATACGCATGTATATTGCATGCACTTATGTGTAAAACTGTTTCATATACATATGTGAATTATATATATATATATATATATATATGAAGCTCACCAAATCAAGCTCATCAATGGCGGACAGGAATATGGCCGGAATCGGAGGCGTTCAGCGACAAAGGCTTCGGGCCGATCCCTTCGAAA